GTTGAAATAAATATAAACGCGAGTGAATTTTTTAATATAAAAAGTCCGATATAATGTACAACTTTTCAAATTAGTTACCGATGCTAAACATGTTTTGTTTTTACATTGTATAAATTCTGAGTTTTTACATAACTGAAAATTTCACATTTTAAATAAATACTTTTTGTTTTCAGTGGATATATCGCCGACAAATGTGTAAAACCACCAAAGTCAATACCGATTTGAATCACAATTTGTTTATTAATTTATTTTTATGCAAATTTATGTTCAACAATCTTTTAACTTTAATAATTCGATGATACAGGAATTGCTAGCGATTACTTTTTTTTAAAGTATCTTACAATAAAAATATTATTTTTTAGTCGATTGTTGTCTTTCTTAGCGAAGTTGTTATTTTATATTGGCTCATTTGCTGTTGATGTGTATTTTTTTCTAAATAAAATAACTAGAAGCAAATAACACTCTGTTGTTTTGTTTTAGAACAAATTAATTTATATATGAGTGCCCTCATACCTTAGACTGACATATCATTTTAAAAAAGTTGAGAAAAAGGCAATTTTCTACTATATTTCATTAACTTAAACTAATCCTGTTAATTTTATTTTCATTGTTCAACTTGAAAATAATTAAATAAAATCTTCATAAAATATTTGAATTTAGGTGTTGCCCAAATGCAAGACCGAGACGAGTCTTGGTCTTGCAAACTCAGTCTTGGTCTTCTGCAAGACTCTCGTAACAGTCTTGCAGTTACATATTAACTTATTACTAGAGAGATATTACTGTAATTTTTTAGATAGGAGAAACCTAACTAAGTCTGAATGAAAAATTGAAAAAGTTAAATGCAAAGATATATTGGTTACACCAATTCTTTATATATAGCACCTAAAATTCTCAAGTATTAGTAACTATTTTGCCTCAATTTTTATTCGAAAAATCGATTATTTTTTTTACCAGTCTTGGTCTTGCAGAAGATAGGCGATGTAGGTCTTGGTCTTGCAAAGTGCTTAACTCTCTCCTTAATGCTTCTCATAATGCTATTGTACGATAATATTAAAGGTTTACAAAAATGTCTTGATAATACCAACCTGGGTGTCAGGTTCTGTGGGTGGGTAAACCGCCCTTAAATTAAATAGAACATATTTAACGAAAAACTTAATTTAACGTAATTTTGTGCAATCCTGTACAAAATTTAAAACAATACACCTGGCAATTCTTAGCATTCAGATAAGAATAATCAAACATTAGTGCTGTCAATGATTAGCAAAAGGATGCTTGCATAGTACATGGATGATGGAGAGAATTTGAGTTTGGGAATTTGTTAGGGGTACGTAGGATATAAACATACTAAAAGTCCTCTATCCCTTCCGCTTCATGATAGGGGTGGCGCTTTGAAGGTCACTTTTTCCAGATTTTCTCATATATCTTGAAAAAGAGGCGTCCTAGACGAAATAATGTTGTTAAAAAAATTAAAGCTGATGAAATTTCCTTCATGAAAGTTAATATTCATTTCTTTCTTATCTGTTATTCTTACCGAGATACTCACAAAATTAAATTGACAATTTTCGAAAAATTTATTTTCTGCTCATGTTTTTTGTCGAAGTATAACAGATAAGAAAGAAATGAATATTAACTTTCATGAAGGAAATTTCATCAGCTTTAATTTTTTTAACAACAATATTTCGTCTGGGACACATCTTTTTCAAAATATGTGAGAAAAAATGGAAAAGAGAGACCTCTAAGACGGCACCCCTAGCATGAAGCGTAAGGTGCAGAGGTGGGGACTTTTAGGATGTTTACTCTCCCTCCAGGTACCTCCAACAAATCCCCAAAGTCAAATGCTTGTTCATCCTTTTTTTTTTTTTTTCATATTTGGAGTATCCTCCTCATTACTCTTACCTCCCTTGAAGAATGATGATAGATGCATTGAGTCGATCTACGAATATTCTTAATCATGGTTTTCATTCCATATCAAATACCTAGAAGGATTATTCGGCAGTATCGCTATCTTAAAAGATTAAGAAAGATTATTTTCAAACAGTATAACACATAACAAAAATTAAAAGTTTTCATTGGCATGAATAATTTATTGTCTGCTTCATCTATTTTTGTACAACGCTTAGTGGTTCCGAGGCGGAAAAAATCCTTGAAATGAAAGTATTCCAATCATCATACTTTTTGCACTGTATTATCTTTCTTTGACATCCCTAGAACCTAGACCAATAACTATTTTCTCCCGTTCCCTCCGATCGAACCCTTAATTTATTTAAGAGCAATTTTCAGGGATTTTATAAAAAATTAACGGTATTTACAGTTATTTTGAATTCGTATTTTTAGGTCTTCTTGACAGAGAAGAAATTGATTTTTTCCCTAAAATGTCATATTTATGGACAAATTAGTATAAAAATATATAAATGTTGTAATTATAAATATAAAGAAGGAAAATTTGTGAAATCACAAGATCAGTGATGAAATAATAAAATTATTCTACCTTCTTTATTTTACTTTAATGTTCACTTTATCTACTTTATTTTACTTTAAGTTTATTGTACTTACATTTTTTAGTCTATACATTTCACCTTTTTTATTTTAATTCTTTACTATTCAATGTTTATAGTTTCTGAAACCTATTGTTACGTGGTTTTTTCTTAGCCCTGATGAAGGCCTGAACGTCGGGAAATATAAAAATAATTGTTTATATTTATAATTGTTTATTTTTCCTTTTTTTTTTATTTTGAATGATCACCCATCTTTCTCTTCAATTATTCACTACAGTCAACCATACCGTCAAGGAGTCCACACTTATGAAATAATAAAACATTTGATTGAATTCATGCTAACCAGGATTGCTTCAGTAATTCTAGAGCTGGCTTCACAAAGTATTATACCGAGAAAATGTGAACAAGAGATATGATATTTTGACATAATTATCTATTTTCACAAATTTAACATATCTTGTGGTTTCTTTTTACAAAAACTTATTCCTTATTCGGTCGGAGCTGTGTCATGGAAGGATTACAGACAATGGAAGTCTCAAATTACCTCTAGATGATTATTTTAGATTACTGTACGGATAAAATATTGAGCTATGACACAGAAGCTGGAATAATCCAGGGATCCAATTTAGAGATGGATCCTTTTTATGGAATATGACGGATGAACTCGGCTTTAGGAAGTAACTACAGCTGGAAATTGAGGAAGACAATCAGTGTCACAGTTAAAAAACTCAACACCTAAAGCTTTTCAAAATTACACTTTAATGTGAGGTATATAAATAAGATTTGATAACAGTATTTACTCCCCCAACAATTTTTCTTTATTTTTATGATGTTTCGGGATGACTTTCTTATCCCATCTTCAGGCAGTATCTCATCCTTCTCTCATCTTCTATTATCTTTTATCATACTTTTATTTTTATAATTCATCTCTTAAATCATGAAAATATATAAATATAAAAATTATGACAAATATTGAAAAAATAATGAGATGGTAGAAGGAATAGATACTGTCTGAAGATGGGATAAGAAAGTGATTCCAAAACGTCATATAAATAAATAAAAATTGTTGGTAGAGTAAATACTGTTATTAAATCTTATTTATATATCTCAGATAAAAAGCATCTCTCTTAAAATGAAGAAATTACACTTTAATATTTCTCACATTTATAACAAGACTCCACAAACCTTCCATTAGATATCTGCGTGTGCAGATTAACGTTATACTCCACAGTGGTTCGAATAGTGATTTAAAGAGCAAGATGCTTGCTATAACTGTAGAGGTTTTATATTCTTGAAAGATAGTTTAGATGCTGGAAAACCTATTCATCTGGCCTTTATTTATTATTATAACAATGAATACCTCAATAGAAGATAAAAAAAACACGTGGAAGGCCATAAAGCAGATGGATAGATAGAATTTACAAAGATGCAATAGACCTGTGTGCCGGTAAATAGAAAGAAATAGCGCAAGACAAGGAGAGATGGAGCAGGCTTGTTAAGGCGGCAAAATGTCTACATGGTCTGTAATGCCAAAAAAAAAAAAAAAAATAATAGTAAATGAAATTTAGATAAGTATAGCTGATAAAACAGGTCCTAATGCTCTAAAATTTGGTTTGGTCTTTGTACGGCGAAGAGCTAAGTAATGTATAATTATTTAAAGAATCGATATTTAGAGCTGATTCAAGTTGTAGCCTCACAAGACTTGAAATTGTTTTTCTCCCAAAACTTGCATTTCCGCATCTGCGATGACCTTTAACCATTGCATTGGCATTAATTATATTCTAATTTTAAAAAAATACATTAGCTTCATCGAATATGAGAAACTAGGTATACAATAGTTCATAACAGTGAGTCCTAAAGAATCGGAGTTTGCCTGGAAATAATAGTATCAGCTTCAGAAATGTGCCAAGTACTTAAATGTGCCAGAATCTTAAAGACCAAAAGTAACAGAATCCTCCCAACTACCTTTTGTTTTATTCCTTGGGCTATTGATTCGGTTCTCATTACCTTTTTAGTGAGTTCTTCGTCACCCTAACTGCTAAATATCACCATTTAAACAGTTGTGATACCATTCCTTCAATTACGTAAAGTCGGTGCTTAATATATTTCAATTCCGACCATGTGCAGCGGATCGAATTTCCATGGCGAATAATCCTCTAAGGCCAAAAAGTATTACCTAATGGTTCATTATTATGGTTAAATTTAACTATTGAAAATTCTTTCGGTTATGCTGTAAGCCATTATAAATATTTATAGGTGGCAAATATAATGAGCCTCACGCCACTTGTATAACGATGCTGCACATTAACGGAAATTTGTCCTTGGGATTGTGTTTCCTTCCCCAACAATGTTTCTCGGCAACAATGTTGGTGATATCTTCCACTTCATCTGGGAGCACTTCATACAGAGTAGGCGGAGATCCGATGATGCGCGATGGTGTTCGGGGGAGATCGGCCCCCCACCCCTGACCTGCCCCGCTGGCGGGCCTGTTGCCCCAGTGCCGCGCTAGGTGCTGCTATGTGAATGTCCGCGATGTGCGAGTGGAGTTACATGCCTTCCCAGCCTCAGAGCTGGTACTACCCCCAGTTCACGCACCAGGTCCACCAGATGGACTACAACTACCTGCACTGTTCCGAGTACTACACCGCCGCCAGGTAAAACTCCTTCAGTCTCTCATATCTGGAGATGTCTGAAATTACAGCTCCAGTGGCTGTGTCCAAAGGTGTAAACAAAATCATTATTCAGCTGTTCCTCGATAATTTGACAGTGGCCAGGATCGATGTATTCTGGACCTGTTGTAATTTGGTCAATATCCACACGTCCCATGCCACATGCTAAATAACTAATGAAAATAAATTATCGATGATCTACAATTGTGATATCTTTCCTAAAATGGATTTGAAATCAATCTTAAAACCAATATCCAATAATGGCGCAAGTTACTCCTTTGAATGAATTTGCAATGCTGAATAATGTCCTCATCATGTAAAGGTTTAATAAATGGTATAACTAATAAAACTATTTAAAATAAATAAAAACATATATTTTATTATGATTTGTTTAAACATTTATGATTGTAAGGTAACGATAATATATGTTCTTCAGTGTCGGCGTTATTACCTCTGAGTTTTCTGAGTTTCCATCACGCGTTCAAATGATCTCTATATCTGAAAATCAATCAATTTTCTATTACAACTAAACCGTTTATAAATTATTTTAACGTACTATATTAATGTAATTGGTACCTATCTTCACACCCCTGATTGATAATTGATTAACAATATTATTGCAGCTAACCGTATAAATGTTGCGTTCTAAAATTACACGGTTATTTGTTCCAACGCCTCTTCATCGTTGAGTAACATTATTGTAATAACAAATAAATATATTATTAATCCATATGTTCATATTCACACACACAGGTAACAATTTAATTAATAGATTTTATTAAAAGCTACTAATGTAATGCAACATATTAATTACAAAACTTTAAAATCGCAACTACACGAATATCTTAAATTCATATTTACGTATATAATTTAACGTATATAAACTTTAATATGCATTTTTCTGTTATTGCATTACGTAGTAGGAAGCACGGGCCGGTGTCGTGCAAGCGACATATTATTTGAATTACATAATTCATACAACTAATTAAACTAATAACCTTAAAAACATTTCAATGTTATTAGTAAATTTTATAACTAAGGTTATTGCTATTTCTATTATAATGAAATATACTTACATTTTTTATATATAAACATAAATGAATATGATTGGCGTAACTCAGTGGGTAAGGAACTGCGTTCCTATTCTTCCGGTCCTGGGTTCGTGCCCTGCTGCGCCGGATAATTAATTTTTCTATTACCAACCAAATCGACTCTGGTGTTGAAAGATCCTCTTGGGATAAACCTGTCCTCTACGAGATGAATATTTGTAGTCAATTAAAGGTAGAGCGCGGTCTCGGTCAAGTCTCCTCTTTGCGCAGCTATTGACCAAAAAACATGACTTCCTTGCTAATTATTTAACCTATTTATTAGTATATCTAGGGAAAATAATTTTATCTTCGAAAATAGAATATTTGAGTTTAGCTGTGATAAATAATTATTTACCTGTAATTACTGTCTGTACTGGTGGGACTTGACTAGCATATAAAGTGGATATCTTAAATAAGAAGAAAATCTGGTTTTTGGGCGTGATACATTTACATCATATATTATCTCTCACAACCAATGCAATGATTTCAGAATGTAGTAGTTTATATTTCTCGTTTTTAATATAAATTTTTTTCCGATGTTTTTTTAATATTTATTAATGTTTTTATATAACTCTATTACTATTAAATATTAAAATTTTCTTAAATATAGATAAATATGCTCGTATTATCACAAAATAATTATTTTGTATTGAGTACATTATAATATACCCATACACAAGTTAATAATTATGTTCTCATGAATTAATTTCTGTGAAATTATGACAATATTTATGGAATATTTGGATTTAATATTCTGATAAACTAAATAATAAATACGGATGTACATGGAAGATGGAACATAATGAAAAAAAAATATGATTAGTTTTAAAATTTTAATAAATTTGGAAAATATAAAGTAATATGAAGGGAGTGGACATTATTGGGGGTGAAAGGGGAACGAGTTTGCGGACAGGTTTGCCGAAAGAGCAGCCAAAATTTCGATTGCACTCATATATGGTAAGGTTACCATCTCTTACCGCCCTCCTAAAAGACTTGATTGACCAGATCTGAATATTTTCTCCAATTCACACGATTTAAACAGGTTCATACGTAACACAATTACAAACATGCGCGACCCCAAATGTCACAACTTAACACAACTGCTATGATGAAGGTAATTTTAAAATCCTTCTACATTCTACCGAAAGATAACTTGGGAAGGAGATTGACAAGCTGATAACTTGGCACTTATATACTTCACGACTGGTAGGAACTTGGATAGATCAATATTCAATTTGCATAGAAAGATTCTATTATTAATAAATGAGCTATGTTCTATTGAAATAAAGAGATGTGGCGTTTATTTAAGAAAACCTATTTTAAATAATGTATGTTTACCTATTATATAATTAGTTTTGAATAATAATTTTCATACTTGTTATGTATTCTCTTCTATCATTGTATTCCTCGACGGTACATTAACTCAAGGATCTTAGTTTTCGATTTTAATTTATGTCTTTCCTTATATATTTGTTCCGTAATAATTAAACAAACTATCTTCTATTTAATACATTATTAAATAAGGGAGTCAATTTAATTTTCTCAATCCATTGTCTAAATGTGATCAGCATTCAAACAACGGTTTATTTATTTAATTTTTAATTGATAAGTTTGGTGGATTCAAAATTTGCCATTTGCAAAATGCAAATCTGCACTTGATTACATATTAACTAAGAAAATCTCTGAGTAACCGCCTCAAAAGTCGACGAGGTGTGATGTATGGGTGCTTAATCGAAATAAGTTCTTAGGCTACTGGATTGGTGTTGTAAGTCTGTCCCTGGTGGAAGTTTATATATGTAATTTATATAGTTGCAGGGTCTGAAACCGTTTGAATGTCCAAGTCTTTTTGTAGCAAGTCGTTTGTCACATAGAATAAATTAAAGGTACTTTATCTGGCGTGGATCATTCGTTGTGTCCATAGTCACCTCCTGGTTGATAAAATAAAAACTAGATGTTTTAATTCAGCCAACTTGAACATCCTGCGAAGAACTGTAAGACAAACTAAGGGTCTTTCCCACTGGAATATTTTACATCCATTTAGTTATTTATTTAAAAAAGATTTATTAAAAAAAAAGATTATTTACGATAATATGTTATCACTTTAAATTGTTATTGATGTCATCTATGTCTTGTAGAAAGAGGATTTCCATTTTCTCGATAATGAGAATTTTTGAAATAAAACATGAAACTCCTTGTTAATGTTGCTTATTCAGAAAAGAAGCTCTACGCTATGGATTTGGGGCTTTCTTCCTTTATTTTCCATTTTTTTTTAATGTAGTAACAAAATACAGCACCCATTACCAATGCTACGTTAATACCAATTTAAGGTATTAGCAGATTATTTTAAATTAACACGCACACACACATATATAAAAGATAAATATACAAGCTAAATGCTTAAATTGTTTTCATGAAAACGTTAGGTTTATGAATATTCAGTTGGTTACATATAGATACAGATAAATTTCTATAATAGAGGTTTGGAAAAAAACACAAATTATTATCACTTTAGTTGATAAATATTTGAAAATGCATTATTTTTAATTTTTTTTTTATAAATGAAAAGTTTATTTATGCATTTATGTTTATTATTATTATAAATTCCTATTATAATAATTATAAGATGATAGGAAAAAAAATAATTCAAAGCTTTGCAATAATTTAATAGTCATTTTTGCTGAAACATAAGTACTTTTTTTTTCAAGGCTAAATAAGGCGTAAATAATTTTTGATCTATGACTTAATGTAAGGGATAGTAGGAATTGTTGTAGGGAGGATGGATATTGTTTTTGATGAGGAAATAGTAGAAGGAATAACGGTCTGTGTATTTATTGGGAAAGGAAATGAGAACATGGTTGTCATCAGCTGTTGAGGAATGGTCACAGTAGCAGTAAGGAGAGTCCAAGATGTTTAATAATATGGAAGTTGTTTTTGTTTTTTTATTATTCATGAAATTTACAACTGTATACAAATAAATATAAATTCAGCAAATGTGATACAGAGATATACATGGCTTGTATACAATCTATCCATTAGTAGCACTCTAATAAAGTATCTAAATTAGGAGATCACGAGGCAAGACTTCTTTTCAGGCGACTAGGGAGTAATCAGGGATCAAGAAGGAAGCAAGGTTAGAAACGAGAGGATTAGGATGGTTCTGAAGTTTATTATAGAAGGATAGGTATCTGGATTGGGCCAAATCGAAAACATATGGATCGTTCTGGTCGTTATGGATTATTTTATTTGTAACAAAGTAAGGAGCATTAAGGATTTTACGTTGGATTTTTTATTGTAAAGATTCGATATGAAAGGAATTTGATGAGATATGGAATTTAAGAATTTTCTGGAAAGTTTGAAAATCGTGGGATTTTAGGTTGGATAGCTTTATAATAAAATAACGCTCTTTCATGGGTACATATAGGCGGAAGAAAATCTAATCACACATTTTTTATACACAAAGCTGTATTTATTTCCTAAGAAGCATCAACTTTTTTGATATGGTCTTAAAGCTTATTTAATAAGATTTTTTTCTAGGAAGGGGAATATCAAATAAAATCCCGAACATTTTTATAAACCGAACTTAGCTTAATTTAGCCGCTTAAAAGTTCTCTTTAATTGGCATTAACAATGACAAACTCAACATTCAAAGTGAATTTTATCTAGTTTACTGTGAAGCAATCCTTAATTGATTAAATTATATATTTTTAATTATCGCTTCGTACTCAAGCATGAAACTTTAAGAAAGAAAACAAAAAAAACCTTAAATTTTCTATTTTTATTCGAAAAATCGGACCGTAGTTTATATAAACATTTTGTAGTTCTCGAGAGCTTCTATAACCTCTTTAAATTATTCCCCTCTCAGCAATGCCAATAGATATCCTTTATTACCTATATTAT